ACCGCATTCCTCATCACTCTCGCAGATTAAAGGCTGCTGGAGTTTAGAAATACACTATTAGTCTAACGACCACAAAGTAAAAGCAGCTGTCTGAGATAACACGCGCTCGTTTATATTCTTACCTGAGGTGCATCGATGGCGAAGTTCAGACTGCCGCTGTCCGCAGGTGACTCATCCGGACTCGGGCTGACCGATTGACCGGGACTCGCCACACCTGAACCGACCTTAATAGCGTTGGAGTTGAGCACCACAGAACCGGCGGATGCCGCTTTGATGCAGCCCACGAGAATGAGGCAAGCGGTAGAGAACACGGCAACGTGCAGCATCGTCAGGGCTGGTATTCCTTGGAGGACGGAGGATGTATTCCCGAGGTGAGCGGAGCTCTTCTGTAGTTCCTCTTGAGCGCAAGACGCTTCATTTATACGCGCGCGGGGTTGTTTGCGCACCCGCCCCTCGCTGAGAGTAACAAAGGGCTGGATGAAATTTCAAAGCGTTGTGTCATGAGCGGTCTGTCTATCGGTATGTTTGAATGCATGAGTCTGAGCCGTATGTCTTCATGAGCTGCCATCAAACAGCCACCACGGTAAAACTGCTTATTGGATGGGAAAATCAGTCGAGAAATATTGGGTTTCACTATTTTTCTAGTTTTCTATATTAGTATAGATTTTAGGAGATGTAGCTACATTTACCGTCATTTTTATTATTAGTCTTAAGCCGGCTAGAAAACAAAACTGCAAACTTGAATTGCTTTTGTATGCATATAAAATGTTTATGCAGTTGCAGCCTGCACCGACAAGTTCAACATGAATTTAATTACTAATAAAAAAACCGAGAAACATTTTTGAAGCAATATTTTACCAATATGTTCGCAATTTTGGAACTGGAATATTATTTTAATAATAATAATAATACAATTAAATAATGTGTATATTTTATATACAGTCACATAGATTATTTGATTATGTTTGTATCAAAAAGCAAATAATTATTAAATCATTCAAATCACTTCTGGATGTCAGTCATTGGACATTTAAACATTAATATCCATATATTCATTTTTCATAGCTTCACGTTTTTTTTTTTTTTTTCAGAGCGAGTTTGTATATTCCATGTTCGAAATGCAGTAAAGATTTTGCAGAAATTGAGTCATAACCGTGATGGGGGCCCTTTGAAATGCGTTTGATAAAACAAGTGCAGAAGATCAAAGTGAATATGCAAATAAGAAGAAGTGAGACGTTTACCGAATTAATTATCATTCAGTCTGTGCTTTTAAACAAATAGTGAGTGATTCGCAATCTGAGATAAGAATGTGACGCTCTCAGGTGACGTCGTTCATCTATTGATCTGATTATAAAGATTTGAGCAGAACAGAATAAAATAATTACCTGAATAATCTCGCTTCTAACATTTTAATACTATCCAAATTTAACAATTCCAAAGTGTCCGTCTGGCCAATACTCCGGGATAACTCCCAAATCAATGTCTTTGATGTTGTTGTAATAGACGACCACCGGACAAACGCTCAATACACTTCATTAAACGCGAATTGGCAGGGTTCATCCCCATCCCTTTGTCTATTGGCTTAGTTTTAATTGTACATCCAAAGCCTACAGTGGTGTAAAATGAAGCGTGTGTAAAGGAGCCTTTGATGCGCTCAGATCAAACAGGACTGAAGCCCATGTCTTAATCAGACTTCCACAGCTTTGGCATTTTCGCAAACAGTCCATTTGCTCGGCTTTTAGCGGCTTTTTGTAGACATTGTACTCAGCAAATTCATTTAGTGGGATGCCAGGTAATCCTGTTTTAAAATTCCTGAGGACGGCTTATTCAGGTCAGGGCTCCTGAGTGACCACTGAGTAGGCCTAAGTATTATTCACTACAGCAATAAAAGTCTTAACCGTGTTTACGTAAAAAAAAAACTGAATTTACAGGAGGCGGCAACAGCAAAACGATAAATGGCAACGTGTTCAATAGCCTATAGTTTATAGCTTTAATAATAATCATTAACAAAATAAGTAATATAGTTAATTAGCCTAACTATCCGCAATTTAAAGTTGCCAAGCAGCGTAACTTGTTGCATTAATATACGCGGTTACAGGTGTGCCTTTATATCTGTTTATTGCAATGGCTTTAAAAAAAAACTCTATTAATTTCCGCGAATCGGTTCTTTTGAACAGGTCTTTTCAAAGAACCGGTTCAAAACATCGAATTAGTGATTCTTTTACGATGTGATGTAATTACCACATTACTTGACATCCTGATGTGGCATGCATGTTCTAACATGTTCCAATACTATTTAGGGACATGTTAGTTATTAAGCTTTTTTGACTGCGTTTTATTATTAAGAGTGTTTAGTTTAATGTGCCCCAGTTCATTTCTTTGCAGCCTTAAGGTTATGAAAACGTTAGAACCATATTATGGTTGCGTTCAGCCCTGTGTCATTTACTAAAATCCATTCAAACTCCTGACTGAAAAAGGTTTGTGTGTTTTAATGTTACTTTAATGTGTTAAAAAGTTATTAATACCAACTTATGCAGGTGAATAAAACTGCAATGGTTCCCACCGTGTTTTACTTGTAACATTTGGACCTATTGTTATAACCGTTATAATAACCCTAACTGTTTACTCTTTTCTTCTTACTATCGTATAGATGTTCAAACAGCTACGAATACGAAACAGCTAGACGGTTCTGGGTTCAATGAGTCTTTCAGTTGATGACTCGCGAACCGCCAGAACGATTCAGTGATTCGTAAACGAATCGTTCAGACTGGATTTGTATAGTGTTCAATGCATTAATTGGGAAAAGCTCCGACTCAAACGATTCGTTCACGCATCGGACACAGTGTTGCCAACTTAGCAATTTTGTTGCTAAATTTAGCAATTTTTCAGACTACAATAGCAACTTTTTCTTCCAAAAGCACCTAGCAACACATTTTTAATTTAAATTTTAAATTTTATTTGGCTACTTTTAGCAACTTTTGATAAGTTACTCAAACAATAAAAAGGCACACATTTTCCAACAAAATTACACAAGACATTGCTAGTTTAGCTCAGTCGGAACTATCCTTTTTGTAAAATAATACCAACCCGCGTCTCCAAGGTAAAAAGAGCCATTTTTACTCTTTTTTTATTGCGTGATTTCAATTTCTCAAATGATCCTGCGGGATTCTGACAGTCCATCTTTTATGGTAGGCTAATTGTGTGTTATGCATTCTGCAGATGGCATGCAAAGGTAGGTGGTTTATTTTTGTAAGTTGCTGTCCTCCTTTGGTGTGACAGTATCTAAGCAGGGGGTGGTGCATGTCTTCTGATGACTCTCCAAAACAAACTTGTTTCTTTGTTGATGCTTTGTTAGACTTCACGTTTGAAGCTGGATACGGGGTTTACTGTAACTAACTGGCCCAAAAATGTAGTAATAAGTTTAGGAATATAAATAAATATAGTAAAAGTAGATCTTTCTTTATCTTGAGAAAAATCTCTCTTAGGCAGGCCTCTCCTTGGTGCATTATCTCTAAACGACCATAACCTAATATTCTAGTACATTTTTAATGTTTTCATGAAGAGTATTGTGATTATTGTGTCTAACATGACTGATTTTGAACCATTCATTTGAATGTCTTCCCTGCTAGCCATAGTAAATATTTAAATCTTAATATATTGGTTGAAAATCACCTATTAGTTGCCTAGTAGATATGCCATTGACTGATGGCTTTAGCTGTGAACTGGAGGTCAAAGATGTCTTCTCTACCCCCTGGGTTTACATCTTTTGATGTCTATGGGCCACATTGTTGGCAATGAAGAGCTACCGAGCTTATGTGTTATCTGCTGGGAAGAGGGGAGGGCGGATGTTTACAGAGCATTATCACCAGCTGATATGAATCAGACCCTTCATAGTACTAACACCTCGAGCTACATCTTGTTTGTAGGACAAGATAGCAAATCTTGTTTGTAGGACTTTCTGAACTTCAGAGTATAAAAATAGGCTAATGAATGCAACATGCAATGAAAACTGCAGGTGCAAATTTCAAATACTGAAAGCTTTATGAAGAAATATTACTTTGAAAGATGCTTTTATTGTAAGAAAATGGCATATAAATTTCTGTACCTTTAAAAAAGCCACAACTGATTAAGAAGAGCATTTTGAGGTGTCTGACCTAGTTGTGCAGCATCAAAACAAGCAGGGCGAATTCTGGATGCCATTGTGTTAAGGCACTTTCAATAATGCCAAAAGATATATGGTGAGCACATAATATCCATCTTGAAAAGTAAAGATAACAGAACTAAAATAGCTGGTCTGGACTGGTTTTACTCTGACAATAAATCTCTACAAATATCACAAAAATATTACCACTGTATATATATATATACATAAATATTTACCCCTGGTCCTACAATAAATAAGATTACATAATTGGTTTTCCAGCACAGCACTTTGTGTTCAAGCTACAGGCAGTCTTCTCGTCATTGTTTAAATGAGTCAAGTAGTCATTAATATGATTGGTGAAAATGACTGGAGAAAAATATTCTGAAAGTATGTCTGGTATCAATAATAGAGCTGATTATGTAACTTCATAAACACAATTCCGATCTTACCCACATTTTATTTGGGACGCTGGGATTTGACTGCCCTTCCACAGGGGAAGTACAGTGTGTATTTTAGTAAAAAGCCTGCCCTCTAGTGGTGCACAAAATGTATTGAGGCTGGTTCATTATTTGAGTGGATTTCCATTGTCTTAAAAAAATCACGTTTCCCATTATAAAAACAAAATATATTCATAAGCCTTAACATAATACCTTTAATAAGCATTTAAAGGGGTGGTCCACCCAAAATTGTAAATACTGTCATCATTTGCTCACCCTCATGTCGTTCCAAACCTGTATGATTTTTTTTCTTCTTCTGTGGAACACAAAAGAAGATATTTTGAAGAATGTTGGTAACAGAGCAGTTTCGGTTCCCATTGACTTAATATAATAACATTTTTCAAAATATATTATTTTGGGTTTGAGTTTGGAACAACATGATTCCAACAGAATTTTCATTTTTGGGTGAACTATTCCTGTAAGACGAATATGCTTAAAAAGACTAAATGGAAATTAATTGAATCATATCAATCAATTCAAATCAATAAATCTCCACCACAGGACCTTTTACCTTTTTAAGTATTTGACTCTGGTGTGTTTCTGTTCCAAATATATTAGCCATATTCCTACACAACTGTCATACTATCAGAAGTAACCACAAACTAAATTCCGTCCTAAAATGCATCTTAGAAACATTATCAAAACTCAATCCAGATCATAGTACTGTCTCTACTTATGATTCTCTTTTTAAGACCCAGACTTAAAACCTGAAACCACTGCTTGTGCAATCAGTCAAACATGAAACAGCAAAGAAAAAAAATTTAAAGACTCATTTATAAGACATCGGCTCCAGCACGAGGCGGTCTGAGTCCATATCTAAAGTCGTGTTGGAAATATGGACTCCAGTTCTTCTGATTAGGACAGTTCACGTTAGTTGTGAGGTGCGGCGGGGAGCTGAGACACCCCCAGTGGCACCGCAGGACAGAAGTATGGGCGAAGGCAACTTGGTGTCACAGAGCTGGGCTAGACGTCTTCCATTCTTCTCTTCGCTGACAAACCACACGAGACACTCCAGGGCAGGGCATGTTACAAGTTTCATTTTTAGAAATCAGTGTCCCAGCCGGAATTGTCATCTGGAGGAGGATCCTCATTGTCCTCAGGAAAGCTATCAAAGTTACTGGTGTCAGTCGGGCTTGCAACCTAATAGGTGCGTGAATGGAAGAAATAGGATGTTAGACGGAACAAATATTGAGCAGTAATGTAAATGTTGTAAACACAACTGTAAAAAATAATAATTTGTGCCTGCACGTTTATTCATTATTCATTGTCTCAAATACCAACCAATATAAATTAGTATTTAATTCATACATATTTCATTATAATAAACTTTTATTTTATGGACCATTGTGGAAATATGGCAGCACAAATAATCGAAATAAAAGTGAAATCACAATATCAAAAATGCAATTATCAAATCGCAAAGGTTGCAATTTAATTTTGAAAAAGAAGAAATTAAGGGTTGACACTCCAATTTATCCTACATTTTTCTGACAGCATTTAACTAACAATGTAATTATGTTGAAAATACTTGAATATATGTGACCCTGCCCGTGAAAACCCAGCTAAAGTCATTTTTTTGTGATTTACTGTATTCTGCATAAAATCATCCTTCATAAAGATGTAGAACATTCTGTGATAACCTTTATATCTTTAATATTGACTGAGTAAGGCCATGTCAAAGATTGAAATCATAGTGAAATTAATGGTTGAAATCAAACTTTGATGCTTGTTATCTCATAATTAGATTTTGAGACTTTAGCCTGGATTTCACAGACAGGGTCACATATTTCAAATGCAAATATCTTAGTTTCTCCTCCTTTCACATATTCAAATTCACACTTATGAATTAAATTGGAGCATGTTTAAAATGGAGATGTTTTATACTTACATCAGGAATAATTGGAGGGGTGAGAGTTCCTTTGCGCAGTCCTTCCCAGTTAAAGCCTTCAAACCATCTATGATGGAAAAAGGGAATTCACATATGTCTTATAGAAACAGAATAGAAATGGTGGGTAGGGTGGGATTTTCAGTTGAACTTTCAGTCTTTGGAATTAATAGATTTAAACAATTGTACTTAGAACAGAGATGTTACCAAAATGACAAACAAATCTTAAGGGCTGGGTAAAAAATATCGATATCTCGATATTAATCGATTCTCATTTTTACGGAACGATATCGATTCTTAAATCCCAAGAATCGATTAGTCTAGCATGTTTTCAGTTAATGGACGGAACGTTGAAAGGGCACTTCCCATCCAATATATCGCAATAAGCATTGTGCTTTGGTACTTTTAATATGAAACAAAGTCTCAGATTTCAAATGTTGTCCATTGTATTGCAGTATTCAAACAATAAATGCCATTTTGGCGCTGTTTAATGTGGAGTGACAGATCGCTGTAGCGCCTCAGATCAACAGACGCGGCAGCGCGAGGCGCACGTGAACTGATCATCTCCTCCACATTAATACCAGTTTCAGCACAAAATAAACATGACTAAACATCCGAAGGTAAGTTAAAAGAAAGAGTACAACTTTACAATCCGTTTAATGTGGAGTGACAGATCGCTTTAGCACCTCAGTTCAACAGACCCGTCAGCGCTAGGCACATGTAAAAATGATCATCTCCTCCACATTAATACCAGCTTCAGCACAAAATAAACATGACTAAACATCCGAAGGTAAGTTAAAAGAAAGAGTTTAACTTTACAAGCCGTATCCTGTCTCATGTAATCGTTCAATCAGTGTTTCAGCCTCGCAAAGATGTCAATATAACAGCTTGTAAACAATGTCACGTAACGTCACATTTACCTCAGAAAAACATATTCGGTGACCATAAACTCATTAGTCAGATAGAAAAATAAACTGTAGAGAGGGGTATTTTGCTAAATATATGCGCCATATAACATATTCATTATAAATTTGACTGTTCTTCAATGTTTAATTTATGTTTGAATAAATCCATCAAGTTATGACAGCTAGGGGTTGAACGACTGATTTTTTAAAGTCAACTTTTATGTGATGAAAGTCGAGTCGAAGTCGACTAGTCGCTGATGACGTCATTAAAGTTGAGAGATTTTTTTTCCTTGAAAAAATTCGGCATGTACTGTACCTGATATATATCCAAAATAATCGACATCGAATCGAATCGGTAATCGAATCGAATCGCAAGCTTGTGAATGAGAATCAAATCGAATCATGAAATTTGTGTCAAAACCCAGCCCTACAAATCTTGACCCCATGCACAGCGTAATAAGACAAGTTTTTATAGGAATTCCTTGACCTTAATTTTTTATTATAAAATTTCAGCACTTTTGTTATTCCAGACTTCCAGAATCCCCAAAGAACAGTGACATTACAGTACTCACTTGTGCTTTTGGATATCTTTGACTCCATATTTCAAGTTTCCTAGCCTCTCAGACGGATTGTCCCTGAGGGAAACAGTATATTTCAAAACAGATTTAATTTATGGAGCTGATATTTAGTAAAAAATGCCTTTGATAAATCTAGATCCAACTAAGTTTTTTTTTTTTTTTTAACCTTAATGTATAAATGTGTGCTACAGGTTAAAACAGCAGAACATTTTAGTTAATTTAAAACTTGGCTGAAATGTATATTAATGTGTCAATACTAAACAATAAATCTGCACAGATTGAACTTCAAGGCTTTTTAAATGTACCCACCTGCATAGTTTTTTAATTAGATTGCCTGCATTTTTGGTGATCTTCTTTGGAAATTCTATCATGTCGATTCCTCTTAAAATGATATTATATGTCTTCATTGGATCCGGTCCTGAGAATGGTGGGCTGAACAAGAAAAGCACATTAGATTTGATAAAACTAGGAGGAGGAGTAATCCTAACACACGAACTGAAAACATTTGAGCTTATCTTGTCAAACCCAATGACAGGAAAAAATTTTTACCTTCCAGTCAAGAGTTCATACATAAGAATTCCCAATGACCAGTAGTCTGCTGAAATGTCATGTCCTTTATTCAGTATGATCTCTGGGGCTACATACTCCGGTGTTCCACAGAAAGTCCACGTTTTCTTCCCAAATCCAATCTTTTTAGCAAAGCCAAAGTCCACCTACAAGAGACAAACAGCATCTTCATACCAAAACTGCATTTGTGGCTTTTAGTCCATGTTCTTTAGCTTTAAATATACTATTGTATTCCAAAGTTGACAATAAACAAGGTCATTTTGGGTAAATGGGCCAAAAATATTGATGACTCATGTCGCACTAAGGGGTGTATGCACATTGCTGTCCAATCAGATGCACTCTAGATGGGAAGTCCCGCTCTTTGATACCAACTAACAACAAAATTCACCAGCCTCACAATGTCATCTCATATTAGAAAGTGCTTGAGATGTATACTCACAAGCTTGGCATACCCTCTGTGATCCAGAATGAGATTTTCTGGCTTTAAATCACGGTAAATTATTCCCTTGGAATGCAGGTATGCGAAGGCTTCAACCACACAGGCTGTATAAAACCGTGTAGTGGAGTCTTCAAAGGATCCTCTGTGAATAAAAAAAGAAACCCACTGGTGTTTAACTGAGTTTCCATTATTTAGAGTGATTAGCATCGGCCATCATCACAAGAACAATTTGGCTACCTGTCTCTAAGTATGGTCCAAAGCTCTCCGCCTAGACAGGCCTCCATCAGCATGTACAGATATTTACTGTCTTTGAAAGTCCTGTACAACCTAAGGGAACACAACCACACAATTTTGTCCATAAATGTATTTTTTTTTTGCCTTTATATTTTTTAGGATATGACCTCTATTGATGCTCTCGGGAGGTTTTAGCACCTACCTTACAATGAAGTCTGAATGAGCATCCTGCATGATCTGTTTCTCAGAGCGGATGTGCTCCTGTTGCCGCGTGTCCACGATGTGACGCTTCTTCAGAATCTTCATTGCAAATGTTTTGATCTCTTCACTCTTGAGCTGCACCTGTGGACATCGAAGGCACACAAAAAATGAGCGCTGAGAAAGTGCTAATAAGCTCATTTTCAATGGAAAGTAGCTGTAAAAACAAGTGCTAGTGCTCCTTATTATAGCACTTCAGTCAGGGTCTATTAATGTGTTAAGGGTCCTCAAAATAGATCAAGCAGGAATTCTTCACATTGCGTCTCTGTGAAGGCACTTGCGTGTTCATTCGATCTTGTAGCTATCTAGCAAATGGATAGCACTACAGGCATATATCACAGCCCCGGTGAAAGGACACTTGTTTTTACTATGTTGCCGTAGTGCCAGAAATAGGCGAGTGGAAAGGGGAATCCTCTACCCAGATCACTGGGCTTTCCTTTACAACAGAATCTGATCCGCAATGCGGATCTCTGCTCTCCTCTCTACGTCAAAGTTTCCATCATCTTCTTTCAACATATATGGTCCTGTGGAAAACGTCATACATTAATGATTTATGTTGAATCTATCTATCTATCTATCTATCTATCTGTCTGTCTGTCTGTCTGTCTGTCTAGCCGACTGTCTATCTGTGTCATTAACTGTCTGCCTACCTAACTACTTACTATCTATCTGTCTACCGACCTACCTAGCTACCTATCTATCCATCCATCTGTCCTAAATTACTTATGGTTTGGTTGAATCACGGTTTTTGGTACGGTTCGGTATGTGCTATGTTTAGGGAAAAAAGGACTATACTGTCAAATAAAAATAAAGAAAATAAGAACAAATAATTAACTACAAGCAACCGCATAAATAAATACAATAGAGCAAAGATACAAATATAATAAACAGTGCTTTTCAGGTTTTTTAGGTAGGTCTAACATTAGTTTTTAGGTACAGAAATTTTATAAAGTAATCAAATGTAAAATAACATTGCATATTTGACTGCATAAATTAAAGATTAATCCTTATTAAAGTTACAAAAGCTATTCAATCAAGAGCAGTGAGTGATTTCCTTCTCTTTTGTTGTTTGATTAACATTAAAAACTTTAAGATAATGCATGGATCTAGTACACCGATACTGTACGTTCAACTGACTATGTCTGCTAGGAAACTCACCAAGACAGGCATGTTAACATAATTTTTGTGTGAATGTGTCCATTCAAGTACAAGTCTTGAAAGAGAACTCAGTATTTGTGCGCTCTCTGAGATGTGGGTTTGACGCTTCGGATGCGCGCACACACAGATCTTCTCACAGCACGCGCAAGTTCTCATTTGCGTATTCTGGCTCTTTAATGTTTAAACTGGCGAGGCAATGCGTTTAGTTTAAACAGATAGCAACGTGTGCTGTTCAGGTCTCACCTGCGCATGCACGCTATCAACACCCGGGTGATGACGGCATAAATGACTGGTCATATTCAAGCATACGGCACTCGCACTGAACAAAGTTTACAAAGAGTGATTGGTTTGTCCCCGTTTTTTTTTTTTTTTTCATCACTGTTGTTGTAATGTATTGGGAAGCCAGAATGCATATCCATCTATCTACTCATTAAACTAGTCTTGTTGAACTTTGAATGGCAGTAAGTCAGATGTCTGCCCTATTAGCTCTGTTGTGGAAAGTTACCCTGAATAGAGTCACAGCATTCCCAGACCTGATCTGTCCTTCGGCACAGTAGAACACATGAGAGCTGCTCATGTGTCCAGCACTGTGTAAATTAGATTAGTAAAATATATTCTTATCATTGGTTGACATAAGTTTTTGTATTGAGGTGTTGCATGACACCAGAATATCATAAAGCAACAACTCCATATGCATCCACTGTTCTTTTACTGAAGGGGTGTCCAATCCTGCTCCTGGAGGGCCAAGATCCTGTGGAGCTTAGCTCCAACACACTTGCCTGGAAGTTTTTAGTGAGTTTGAAGACCTTGATTAGCTGGTTCAGGTGTGTTTAATTAGGGTTGGAGCTAAACTCTGCAGGAAAGTGGCCCTTCAAGAACAAGTTTGGTCAACCCTGTCTTACTGCAATCACATTTTAGTGCTTAATTATAGAAAGAGCTGATGAATTTGAACATTTTTTACTTATTAATTTACTTGCAAACATATCATGAAATGCATGCATATAGAAATGGCTCATCCTACCAGCTCAACTCTTCCAAATCCTCCAACTCCCAAGGTGTCGATGATGTTGAAGTCCACCAGCTTCAGGTTGGAGAAGAAGGCATTCTCTGCCTCGTATCTGCATTTTTTGAAGTGGAAAAAGGGAAACTTCTTAGAGGTTTGGATAGAGTATGTAATAGGGAATGTTGGAGCAGGAATTGGGGCAGGAAGGCTGTTTATTCGCTCCCTCTCTTTTCTCTCCTTTATCGGGATAGGAAGTAGCTCACGCATTCTGACCTCCTTGAGGCTTGACCAAACCAAATACTGTGAAACAATTAAATGTACAATTCTCAAAACGGCTAGCAATATTGCAAAGACGATCTTGCAATATCTGACTTGCAATATGCAGTACAGCCCTCGCCTCAAGAGCACGTATGGCAGAATAATAACAACAGTCTTTGCTCAAATGTGGAGCTAAGGCGCCATTTCCAGGTTACATTTCGAGATTCGGGATGCAGCGCAGATCGAAGAACAGAGCGATCCAGATTGGTGGAGTCTCTCCGCATCAATATCGGTTTGTGAAAGCTCTTCTGGACACAAAGTTTGGATGCAGAAATACCCAAAGTTACCACAGTCATCAGCAGAGACAGTACTAAAAGTCGAACAAAGGTCCTCGCTGAAAATCTCACAAAGCAAGAGGTTTTGTCCTTGCAGCAGCAGGAGTGCACGCTGAGGGACAGTACGCTTGACTGGTGAGACTAGTGCTGTCCTTGTGACTAAGTCTCAGTCCCTGTGCTTAAACTGAGCTTGACTGTACTCCCTGTGTGAGAGTCTCTACTAATACTGCCTTGCCTGATCCAAGTTTATTTTTAGCATGTGAACTTGGCTTACGGTTCTCCTAGTCAGAAAAGGTGTCCCTGCTCTACCCTCACACCACCATCTCTCTTTAAAGTTCAAATGTAACTTGAGAAGGACATTGGCGCTTGCATAATTATGAGCCCATTTGCATGCTTTGGAGTTGAGAGAATGAACCTTTCAATTAACACTTATAATAACAAAATTAGCTCGTCCTGGAAATAAGCGTGATATCTAGGCCTTCTGATAGGAAGAACCTGGAAGACTGGAAGAAATGTATCTTTAGCTAGATAGGAAGATAGGATTTCCATGTTGATGCTGCCAGCTGTGGAGATCATATGAGATGGAAAAAATCAGGAATTAGGGAACTTACTTAGTAACTGTACTTCATTACTATACTTAGTAACTGTAATTCATTACTATACTTAAAGTATTGTTTTTATGATTTTATACTTTGCTCGAGTACTTCTGAAGCTGAAGCTGCAAGGGGGAACACATTTGTGTTACCCCTTAAAATGTCAAAAACCAGCTACATTTTTTTCAGCACATGCATTTTGACATGCTTGGGTCACAAGGACGTTGTTGACCTAAAGAAATATGTTTCATTTATAACCACCAATTTATCAGTCAAATGTCAAATAACTATAAAACCTGACACCGATTAATTTAATTTATAATATAAGCTTTGGTATAACTCTAGTGTGTCCTGGATACTTACATAGTCATGACAAATGCCATTTTAATTTTATTAATATTTCCTTTTTTAATAACTTTGCATCTGAATCATAAATATTACTTAATTATTTAATAACTAAAATGTTTTACCTAAAGTTTAGTTTCACTCAAGGTTTATTTATTTATTCAGCTATATATATGGACTTTAGATTGTATCTGAGTTTGACATGGCACATACATGGCACAGGGATAGTTCACCCCAAATTTTTTTCCGAAAAATTAAATCATTGGGATCCCATGTTGTTTTAGATTGATTCTTTGATTGCATTTGTTTTCATTTCTTCAATATCTTTTGTTTTCCACAGAAGAAAGATACATGCAGGTACACAGTAATACAGGTTCAGAATGAGTAAATTCATTTTCATTTTTGCATGAACTATCAATTTATAACATACTTTTTCCACACATCTGAGTATTTCTACTTGCCATTCACAAATCTAGACGGTAAAATGCCTCGAGTCAAAGTCTTGAGGTCAAAGTCTCAGTACAAGCTCAGAATCCCTCATGTCACTTTAGAAGCTGGAAAACACCCTGGAAGACCACCACTGCTATTTGACACGGCAAGGACACAGTATCTGCAGTAAGTTTCCACATTTAACTAAGACTCCAGGCAGGTGGACAGCTGCCCTCTCCAACCTCTCCAGGCAATGAGAGAACTCCGACCAATGCAGTTGTCCGCATAAGAAGAACACGCCACATAGTGACATGGCTGTTTCTGCCAAGATCGACAGTCATTTGGAAAGAAGAGAATATTCCGGTACATTGCCCCATCTATATCAGCAAACGTGTCTAAAGCTTCCAGTTTCAGTATTTTGGGAATAACCAGAACTAGTTCTTGATTCCCAGCTCCACATAAGGGGCTTTCACACTGGAGGAACATTTTCAGTATTCACTTTTTGGCATGTTTGCACCGCAGGAACTAAGAACAATTTTAGTTATAGGAACGCCTTTTGGGGGGACTAAATTAGCTCCTACTTCAGAGTAGGGTCCAACCCAGCACAATAGGAACCACCAGTGACATAAGGGGCTTTCACACCAGGTAGTTAAAGGAACTAGACACCAGGGCGTTCCCCCGAGAACTAAATGTTCTCCTGGGGCCGTTTTCCTGGTTGCATTAGTACCACCAATGGGAACTCTGAAGTGATGTAAGCTGGCCAACAGCGACATCATTTAAATGCGGCATTCAACAACATCAGCAATTGGAAGAGGGAGGAAAGAGAACAGCCCATTCTTCTGCATCGGTCCATCTATCACAGTTTTCCATGTTTGTGGAGCTAGGTCATGGGATAAGTACATGTAAACTGTGTGTTTACATGGCTTTTTAAAATTGGCGAATTCCAGTGTTTCAAATGGCATGCTTTCAGCCAATAAGTACCCAGTGTGAAAGCCCCTATGAACTGCAAATCAACTCTGGGACTAAGAGTTCTACTTTGATAAAAGAAATTACGTTGGACATTATGGAACATGTTTACTGGGGCACAATCTACTACAGGTAACTGGTACAATCAGCAGCTTTGTAGTTAAAGGGACAGTTCACCCAAAAATTTAAATTCCCGCAAGAATTTTGTTTATCTTTGGAAAACAAATGGTGCACAAGAATGAAATTCATGAGTCATACATGCACGTCTGAGGTTCTGTTTACCATATTTTATGTGCCCCATGTGTGCGTGTCTATCAATGTTAATATGTGAATAAAAGCCTAAGATCTGTTAATCATTTAAAGTGATCACATCTCTTCAGAAGATATGGATTAAAGGAGTCGTTCACTTCCGGAATGAAAATTCTGTCATCATTACGTCCAAATAAATGACTATTCAAATTAGTTCCTGAATTTTATTAACTTTTTACATACACAATCTGATTTTATTCTATGAATCAGCCATTTTTGCACAGGTGTATCCAAGCTAATGCGTTCTCCATTGTTATGGTTACAAGCGTAACCCCTCAAGTGTTTGAGCTCCATAAGTGGGCAGAGGGGAGTGGGCTGGATTTCACATAAACTGTTGACAGGTGATATGTCACAGAGGTGTGAGCTCTGAGAAAAGCGACTGATGACTGACATCACATGGTCGACTAGAGTGATTTTCCACTGCCTTAGCTGAAAGCATGAGTTAGAGTGTGTTATGAAAACCCATATGTACTTCATGGGACAGTAAACAAGTCCAAGATAGTGGCTTGAGAGGCATTGATAAGACAATCTGAAAAAGCCAAAACCGGTTTACAGTACTTGGATCTTAAAACCATACCCAAAAAAAACCCATTTGATGTAGGCTCCATTCCAAACCTAGTGAGCAGTCTTGCATCCTAACTGAAATCGATTTGACTGAGTTGGTATGCATGCACTACATTGGCAACCTTGGATGTCAAGCAATTGATTTCATTTGAGTTTGGGATTAGCAGGTTGCTAAGCTAATGACAGAACTTTAATAAGCCAATAAATAAATAAAGTACCATTTTTATCTATATGAATTAATTGAACAATTTAGCATTTGTTAATACTTATATTGTTTTCATTATTTAATCATTAATTAAATAAATAATTTCAGTGATAATATTCAGTACTAAATAATATATTTATCAATCATGTCTCTGTAGAAGACTTGGATTAAACTGCTCAGCTCATATGGATTCATTTTACATGTCTTTAATTACATTTTGAAGCTTGAAATTGTTTATTACATAGACTGCCAATTGATGGGCAAAAAATATATATATAAAAGAATATAAAAAATATTTAATTAAAAATCATTTTAATAAAAAAAGTGATCCAAAAATGAACAAAAGGTCTTAAAAGTCAAACTTGTGTGTCAAGCAACTGATTTTAATTGAGTTTGTAGATCTTGCTAAGCTAATGATAATACAAAAAAAAATAAAATAAAATAATAATTAATTGATTAATTACACAGACGTACTACTCATAGAAATATTAGGTAAAATTTTTAATTATATGAATTAATTAAATAAATTGTTTATTTATTATTTAAATGCTATATTTTAAAATTATTTTTAATTACATAATTGTTTAATTAAATACCATGCTATTAATATACTTCATATATATTGAGTACTTTTTTAGTTGATATTCATCAACTCAAATAGTGCTCAAAATCATCATCTTAACAAATCAGCTCCACCTTTCATTGTGAGGAGTCTTTTATCCTCAGATTTCCTCACAATGCATTATGGGATTGTTTCTCTGAAGGATTTAGGGGATACTGTCTCAGAATTAGCCAAAAGAAGGCTGCACAATTAAAAACAGTCTGCTTTGAGGCAAGACCTATAGTAAAAAAAACTATTTTGAAAGTCCAAACAACACTGGACCCAAATGACCGTTTGTGACATCTTTTGTGGTTTGTAAAAGTAAGAAAGTTTTACAGGTTTAGAACGATCTATTTAAAATGCTGCCTATCTAGCATGAAGCCCAGAGTTTTCGGAAGGAATGTTCTATACCTTGACTGGCCTCCAGTCTCTCGCAAAAAGCTGAAGAGCAAACACATTCCTCCATGCAGAAGTGGCAGCCTTTCAACGTATCCACTACTGCTGTTACAG